ACCCCCCCCCCTCTCCCTGCCCCACTCTATCCTCCTCCCCTCCCCACAACTCCTCGTCCCCTCCTTGTACTCACAGCGAAGGTAGCACGCACGTGCCAAGGTACATGCACCACAGACACAGCTACTGTTGTTTGGGTTGTTGTTGTTTTTTTATTTATGGCTTGTTTGTAGTTTCGGGTGTTTCTGCAAATTTCTCATCTGTAGCGCCTTCGCGTACTCGTGGAACTTCTTATTCATAGGAATATTATGTCCACTGTTATGTAGATATCTAATTTACAACGTATTCGCGTACTCATTAAACTTTTTATTTTTAGGCAGGATTACCCAACAAATACAATGTACATAGGCATATATAATCACTTTACTGTAGCATATCTATTACATATGAACATACGCTCTCTCTCTCTCTCTCTCTCTCTCTCTCTCTCTCTCTCTCTCTCTCTCTCTATGTTTATGACTCTTTTATCGGTCTTTCCCGCCTCATCAGTGTGATTCACCATGGTAAACTTCGTGCTTCCTATTCGGGAACTCCCCTTCAAGTGTGAAATACCATTGCCATGGCGTGAACAATGGTTTCGTGTTTGTGCTAGAGATAATATTATACCGCTTCTCTTCTCACACCCTCGGCTCTGCTTATCTCTCAAACTGAATCATAGACATGAAGTATGATAGTATTATTACCTTAGACCATAGACTGCTCGCTATCTCAGAACTACAAAGTTCTATCTGACTTTCTTTGCTGTTTTGAGTAACTAAGATCTTGGGATGATCAGAAATCAAATGCTCTATCTGCTCTGTCAAACTGGAAAGATTAGATCTACTCCGATGAGTCGTGTTCAAAATATTCAAAGAATTGCATTTGAAAAAGCTTGACATAAAAAAATATTGTGAAATTCAAAATTTTTGACGTCACATTTTTCAAAACTAGATACTGAGCAGATAGGATTTTGTCAATTCTGAGGTAGCCAGCCGCCGTGGCCTCCGTTTTTGGCTCCTTCTTACTGCTGTCTTTCAGCCACATCCCTGATCTTATGGTAGGAAAGACCTACACATAGCCTTCTTGGACAATGGGCGAAAAATCACGGAGGTCACGAGTGCAAGTTGCGCACGTTAAAGATCCCTTATTGGTGGTCCAAAAATCGATAAGAGTAGGCTTCGCCGCCCCCTGGGCAAAATTCAAAAATTGCCTACCAGCTAAAAATATGACCTTATGCAGTTGCGAGCGCTGTAAAACACTTACCAAAAAACAAAGTTTTTGGCTCTCAATAAACACTTTGCTGCGAAGCCTGCGGCCCATGGATGCCCAAATGAAGAGTAAAACACCACTTTTGGTACAGCTGAGTGTGTGCGGGACCCCACC